TCTGCCAGCAAAAATGGGCTCCCAAGCTCTGTTTTCAGCTGCAATGGCTTCCTGCAACCCTCTGCCAATAAAAACAGAGGTCAGAGGGGCACTCACGCCCCTTCCAAACTCCATTTTCACTGGCAGAGGCACCGCAGGCTAGCCTTCTCTGTTTTCAGGGCAGCCCCATGGGCCAGATCTAAGCACCCCGTGGGCCAGATCCACCCCCCTGACCTTGAGACCCTGATCTAGATCATGTTATTTGTTACTACACTCTTAATGAGTAGCTAATCAAAGAGATTTTTCAAAATATAATACAGATAGCCCTCAAATTACAACTGTGATTGAGCCTGGGATTAGGGTCTTCAGTTACGACAGTCATTAAGCAGATCATCACTAGAGGGCACCCAATTTTATGACCCTTCTGTGGCAATCATTATGCAAACGTGGTGGTCATAAAGTGTACGCCGCAGTCATTAAGCAAACACCATAGTCATTGAGTGAACCCATTGTCCACAATCCACATGTTTTGCTGGAAACCAGAAATAAAATGTTGATTTCCAACAAAAATGTAATAAATTACTGTCACATGACTGTGGAAGGCTGCAACCAACTGTAAGTGTGAGCCAGTTCTGAGCATCCAAAATGTGATCATGTGTCTGCAGGAGTGAGGTGGCCATGTTTAAATCCAGGTCATAAATATCTTTTGGGGGTCTTTTGGAACTTCAAATGGTTCTAAGCATCCAGTCAAAAGCCAAAGACTTCCTGTGCTTACTAAAATATATAAGATCTATAAAAATATTTCAGTCATATAAGTATTACCTTACATTGTGAAAAACAAAAAAGCAATGTGTTAGTAGGGCAAGCGATAAAATAAATATATGTGTCTTATAAAGGAAAACTCAACTCAGGTGGCAACAATTCTAGATTCAAGTAAATCTAGAATTTTGTAATTTTAGCTGCAAGTAAATAAATAAAAACATGGAAATACTTTCCAAGAAACTTCCCAGATACTCATCTAGAAGCACATGTCTTAATTTAGCTGCTGAAGCTAGGAAGCTACACCCAGTATGCGGCTAAATCTGGATGGGGTAGCACCAAGAAACTGTAATGTTAAGGCTTGCTTAGCTCTTTTGAAAATCATTGAGTACAAACAGTTGAAAGAAATGCCTAAAGTGCAGCATAAGAAGAGTTACTTAGAAAGTTATTGTCTATGCCAACCTTCCCCATCTTGGTCCCCTCCAGATATATTTGACTACAGCTCCCAGAATTTCCATGGAGGAGAAGATGACAGAGAAAAGGAAGTACCTGAAAAAGGAAGGTTGGTCTTCTGCTTGGCACTGTGTCTTGTTTCCTTCATCCAAGGGAAGACCTGCTTTGGTACATGGCCGCTACACGATTTGATACTGCCATTGGTGGTGGTGGTGGCGTCACAAGGACTGGAAGAGGTAACCAATGACAGCTGCCGTAACCTGGAGGTCTCATCACGACTGTTCCCTAGAGGTCTCAGGGATGGACGTCGGGAACCTTTGGAGCACTCTGAAGACCCTGTAGGGGTTTCTGACTCCTCCAGGGACACCAATGAGGTTGGGAAGAGTGGCTGGCTAAAGGAGGGCCTCCTAGTGAGAACTCGGCACCAGCTGTCTTCTGAGGCCTGTTGGTCATCTTCCTGCAGAGCCTTGTGCATGTCCCTTTCTTGTCGGATGTAAGGGGTGGACTGAAGGGGTGGGGAAGGAGACGGAGACCTTGCAATGGGTGTGAAAGGAATCCAGAGACACTTCCAGTCCTTACTGCTGAGAAAAGACCCTCCTCAACCACGTGCTCGAATAGCTAAGAGCAACCCCGCCTAAGTAGGTAGGAAGAACGCTCCTCAGCCTTCCTTAGGCAACCGCTGCTAAAAAAGGAACAGGAACCTTAAACAGAGACAGCCCAGTTTGGGTTTCAGCGTTTCTGAGTGGAAACAAATGCGGTCTCCCAGAATGATGATCTGCAAATGTGGTGCTGATTGTGGACTAAAGAGTTGACATCTGTAATCTGCCTGATGATGAGTTTATTTTATTATTTCGCATTTGACTGTGTGGGATTCAATACCAGCAAGCAAAATGTGCTATTGGGCTCTGCAGTTAGAATAATGCTTACTTATTTGAGTAAGCAAGTAACAATAATCCATTCCATATCCTCTCCTCTGGGGTCTCCTCCACTTGCTCAGATCTTATTGGTTGCTATTTTTAAAAAAGGGAAAAAAAAGAAATGCTTTCTTTCTTCCTTCCCCACAGTTTTCTCCCTCCCTCCCTCTCTCTCTCTCTTCTCAAACTTCTCATGGATTTTTAGAAGTGGAAAAGAAATCTAGCTTCTCTGGAGAGCCTTTGGACTAATTAGCTGTGGACAGTATCAAGATTAGCATATCAATTAAATATATGTTGTATTGATTAAATATGGTTTTGTGTGTGTGTTTATGAGTGTATTGTATATATATATTTGATAGAGTTTGACTGTTGATATGTTCCTATTTATTCTGGATTGCTGCCAGGATCAAAAGACCCAGTGATGTTCTTAAAGCTGTGTTCTTAAATTCTGTGGCAAAGGTTGCACATGCAGCATCTGAATAACAAAATATGGTCTTGGTATTTTGTTCTTTTTGGAATATTAATTCCAGTGCCTTTCTTATCTTTATTGATAATGGTGCAGATAATGGCAGCTAAAAGATGCCTCCTGAAGCTAAAGAAACAATATAATATGGAGAACTCACAGGCTGTTGCACCAATAATTATTTTCTATCCAGCAAAAAACAAGCACTTTGTGTGTGTACATGCGTGTGTGTGTGCGTGTGTTTGTCTGTGCGTGTGTGTGCGCATAACAGCAACCTTTAAGTATCTTCCTCATTTAGGGTGGATAATATCTCTAAAGTGTGAAGGAAATGATAGAAACCATGATAGATAGGTAGCTCATTTTTCCTAAATCCACCAGCCAGCAATATTGTGCTGGGTTAGGGGGAGAAATTCTATCCTGATTGGTGCAGACAAATTGGAAATATTTGTGGAATGGAAAAAAAAAGTCACTGGACCTTCATTAATGTTGTCCTAAGACTTGTCCTATAAAATAAGCTGTCTAGAGCTGAGCAAAATGCCATTCTAAGATAAGTCCTATGAAGTAAAACTTGCAGAGCTCATTAAAAACATTTTTTTGATTAATCAAGCAGTAGGTTTCATTGTAAGCTACAATTTGTAATATATATATTAAAAAATCACAGTAAAATAAAAACTTGCATTTAAAACCATGATGTGCCTTTGGAAAGTTGGTGAAAATTGCTCTCCTTTATTCTCAATGATCTTTCTGCAAACTGCTTCGCCTTGCAGGGGAGGGGGTATGGGTATGGATAGGGCACGGTGGAGGAGAGGAAAGGAAAGGAAGAATAAATTGTAATGATCACAGTGGAACCCAGCCATCAATTCCATTATTCCCTAACCAGGAGTGGGGGGGGGGGAAATCTGCATTTCATTTCAGCAAATTTATTTCGGTCTCTGGGGGTGAGAAACCTGTAGCTATTTCAGTCTAGCTGAACTTTGAGTCCATACAGCTACAGACTACTGCATGGTTACT